ATTCATTCAGCTCCGAGTCTCCCATTGATGATGAAATTCTCTGATTTATAAAATTACAATGAAACCTGTCTAAAAACCGGCCACCAGAGGGACTAAAGCAAGCGTTGCGCTTCCAGATGAGTTTTCAGTTTAAAGCGTATATTTCGTATCAGCAAGTCGGTGCTGACGTGTTACTATTAGTTCGAAATTTAGCCTACTATAGGCGCCCTCTTCGTTGAAGTCAGTAAGATTTTGTTAACGGTTCTGGTATGCCGATGATGATGTACAATACCAAGACGCACACAGTGGCATATTAAAGGACGTGGTTGTCACGCCGCGCATGTGCGATATTTGTGCTGATAAACATTGATTTTCCCACAATCCAATGCGTTCTTCTAATGAAAATCACAAGTACGAATTTTGACCTGGATGCAACGTGCACTAATTACCGCCGATGACTCCTTCCATACCTTCCAATCACCAAGGAAATTACCTAGTTAAAGCTTGGTAACGTCTCAGTTCGTAAGTGTTGATCTACGCAACATTCAAAGACGCCATCTTTGTTCATATGAGTATCTCGGCCATGCGTGGTGCAACGACCACTGCCCTTTAACTATTGATTATCACGTAACGGTCAATTTTCTCTTTTGGACTAGTGTTTAGTTTAATAAAGTAATATTCCCGAGTCATCATTATGTAACCATGACAACAGTGAAGGTATAATTAAAAAAAACTATGATGACATGTAGTTTTGCAATGATGTAATTTCAGATCAAGCGCAACAGATGGTCACTGGGCTGATGCTGACTGCAATGTCCCGTCGCCGTTTATATGCCAGTTTAGAGGTAACACAATTTTTTTTTATTCTAGCGCCACCTGGTGACAGAAAAATAATGTAGTGTACTATTACAAATCCGAGTTAGCTTACGAGATGTGTGCAGTGTAATAATGATGTCATACTTGAGAACAATCACAGTTTGTTAATAATTTCATATTTTCGCAAAACCGTGTCGTGTACAAGAACATTTTGCCGTAAGCCACTGCATTATCTATAATACACTTTCTGTTTTGATTGCAACTTGTAGAGCAATTGGACTGTCTATTTCCCTCGCCCTGTGAAAATGGAGGTGTGTGCGAAGACACGCTAATGGGATACGTCTGTCAATGTCCGGAAGATTTCACTGGCACGAATTGTGAAACGGGTAAGTAAAAATATACTCATGCACAACTGTTAGTTGTGGTCTGTGTCTCGAATATGAAGTATTTCATTGGTTTTAAGACATGTGCACATGTTGACTCTTCCTCGGTCCTGGGACGAGGCTGTGCTGATATGGACGTCATAGGTTCGTCCCAGGTCTCGGGGAAGGCCCAACACTCGATCTTTCACGGAGGTGGCAACTGGATTATTTACGCAACCAATTTCACGCAAACAATAATAACAATACATTATAACATTTATAATAGCTCTTTCAATTTGTAATGCGATTTATTTTAACATGTGCAAGTCGTTGATAACATTGCATTTTTCTCCCTCTAAGAAATCCAGCATACATGCCAGTCGGATGCGGAATGCCAAAATGGCGGCACTTGTGACATCACTAATGATCAGTGTCATTGCCAACCGAACTATGACGGAGAAACGTGTGAAATCGAACTATGTAAGTAGAGAAATGAATTCTTTCATGGTCACAGATGAGTTCATCACAATATATATTTGAAAATATAAGAACAGTAAACATAGCGATTCCAGACTAAATATAATAATAATACGAGACACGTATATATCATTTAGATGAAAGTTGTTAATAATACGCGATGGTCCACCCATGGAAGGTAGTGGTCCACCTAACACCTCTCCTATAAATCACGCCCTCTAGTGGCGAAGCGCTAGACGAATTGGGGGAATTGACTACTTGTTCTTACAGGTGTTACGCATTTTTTTCCTCAATATAGATTCGCTTATCAAACATTTCACGACGTCAGTGTTGGAATAAGCACTGTGTGATTTGTGAACCTGGCATTTGGACACGGTTCATTGTAATTGTTGAAACCACTAGAGTGTCTTTTTTGTTTATTCCAATTATGCGAAACATCAAAATGTCTAAAACCGATCATTCATTCAAATTATTGATCATTCTTTTCATGCACACTGTACATGCAATGAGTCGAATACGCGATACTGTAAATATAGGCAAACTCGATTGCGTGACACTGTACATACGGGTTACTCGCTGTACTCGGGTTAATCATCGACTGAACGCGCTGAATCTGACCCTGACACTCAACCACGCCACCAACGGCAGAAATCAGTCTAGGCTTTGAGAATGGGGTAACTCGAAAACGTGACACTCATCATTGATTTATACTCACTTACAGGCGCAGCTCCAGCCAATGACGTAACTGGATTTGAATTCCTTGATCTGCAAGCGAGTTTCCCTAGCGACACAGAGTGGAATTTGGCTAACGATCCTGCAATCGCGTCATTCAGCATAGGTACCGATACGTTCATTGTAGTGTATGAAGTTCTCGAGGACTTCGTATCAGTCGGTTCGTTTTCTCCTACTCCTCCCACTTTCCAAGTTTTGAAGACGATCAGTTTTCCCGGTGAGTTCATTACTCACGTAGAACCATTTGTTATGAGTGGTCTCCAGTACGTAGCTATAGGACTGACGGCGAGATCCGTGTTTTATAGATGGGATGGGACAGACTTGGTCGATGAAAAAGACATTTCAGCGAATGAAGGTGCCGAGCACTTGCACTTCTTTAGCTCTGGCCACGGTCACTTTATTGTAAGGTCGTACAGCCCACAATTATCGATAAGTAGTAACAGTGTGATCCATAGGTGGGACGAGTCCAGTGGCGAGTTCGTGCACCATCAAGATATACTTACCCGGGATGCCAAGATGTCTACGACATTCTCTGATGACACAAGCACGTACTTATTTTTTGCCTCTGATTCCTTAAATCCTCTCCTGGAGCCCAGAATGTTGGTCCAAAATGACGTCAATCCAAACTTCTCGCCATTAATCATCAATGGCATAAACAGTGCTTCTATCGACGCCGTGTTGACGTTGAAATTCGGTTGTCAGCGTTACCTAGTTACGGAGGTGGCGTCAATCACAAAGCCGGAGATATATCGATGGGACAACGAAACCGGTGATTTTACCACAGTTGCAATTCCGCTCACACAAACGTTTTATTTAATAAATCCTGCTGCCTTTACTTATTTCGAAGTAGGGGATGCGTATCCTCACTTTATTCACATGGGGATGAGCGCCACCCCTGGATTCCTCCGTAGTTTGTTTGTAATCAAACCTTCGTTTGGCCAAGTAGACTTATTTGAAATAATTCAGTACATCGACGCAACACCATACCCGCCATTGGTATCGCATGCATTTAAGCACGACAGTGAGGTCTATCTCCTGTATTCAACTAGCGTCGATCGCCATTTGATGAAATGGGGACCTACACCGTGACCATTGCCTAGTTAGGCATCCGAAATTTTCTGTCAAATATCCCGAAATATTTCCCGTTTCGGCCAAAACTCATATACACTGCCATGTGACGCGAACTGCTCCTAGTTTTGTTTATTAAAATGAGCGTATATTCATATTTTAGTTTTATTCGTTTTTTTTAAAGAATTAATAACGAGGTGGGTGGAGGGAGTCTGAACAAACATACGTACGTGTAGCTTTATTAGAACAGAGCCAGGACAGTACCAGTATTGAATAATTCGACTATCAGTTTGTGATTTAGTCTTTCAAAATAAATAATTCTGGTATCGGAATCGTTTTTTTACCGTCGAAAACGGGCGTTTATATTTCTCAAGTTCTAGAATGCGATATTATGTCTTCCTGTCGCGCGAGACTAAATGGTCAGTGCGAGACTACAGCATGACCAACTTTCACAAACTGTCGTTACTATTGTTTATATTTTCTGTTGTAATTTATGTAGATAATAAAATATTGTAATCACTGTGACCTACGCTGCGTGATTGCGTATACTATTGACCCTAGACGAAAGGAAAGTTCTTTGCATAAAAACATCTTGCAAAAAAGAAGTGTGTGTGGGGGGGGGGGTCTAACCATCGACGGGAGAGTTCACTTGAGTAATTAACAACATAATACTGCCACAATTCTAGGGAAGAGTAATGCTCTCGAAAATTGGTTGGGATGTACCCATCGGATCCAAGTCGTTTTGAGAGACTTTGTGGATTTGTGGACAGCATGATCTATTCACGTACTACAGTTGTTTTGTCATGAGTTGTGTATACCAAGTACCGCAACCAATATTGGGTTATATTTTCAAATACTGAAATCTAAATTTTAAAACCTAGAATTTTACTTTGCGACTAATGGGAATCCAGAATTTAGCCTAACTACTGACTGTTGTTTATTGATTCCCAACAAAATGTAGTAAGGTTTGCATGTACCATGAGTACGTACTGATGGCACGGCGTGAAAGAAATGAAAGAAACCAGAATAACATGACAAATCATTCTGTCACAAATTCTAATTACACGTGGTAATTGTGTTGGGTTCAATATTTCTGTCATGTTTTCAACATTGCCTGCAAAATATTCCAATATTTCAATTAGACGATGTTTCCGTTGATATTTATGAGTCAAGATTCGTTGTCATAACCTCTTTAGCACTTGACAAGAGAGTCCATAAACAAGACAGAACCACACAAATTTATTTGAGTTTTGTACTCAGAAAAAGGATGCCGCTGAATGGAAGGACCAGGGCTCTGCTATGTCATATAATCAAGCAGCCAATTTCTGGAAAATTAAAACAAGTATACCAGTGTATGCATGCTTCAGCCAGTGAAGAGGAAGAATGATGAATCTGACGACTACAGACCTCGCACTGTGACGTCATATGTTTACATTTTTGTCAACCAGCGAATGTCTGATAACAAATGTCACTCACTGGTCAACACTTGTTGACGATCTGCTCTGATCTGCTCTGACAGGGTTGCACCTGAGTTGTTTTATTAACAAATAACAGAACCAGCGAAAACGCCATTATTTAGGGTGCGAACAACCTGTTTTTGCCAACACGCGCACGCGCAAAACGTAAACAAGGACGACGGCCCATACGCAGAAGCCCTGCATAGAGAAAGATTGAAAACTCATTAGAGACGAAGACCATCAGTTCGAGTTCTGAAACAGATTTTTCAAACAATGGCAGACAAGAGTTTTGACCTGTAACAATGAAATGAGTTGAATTGACCATGTACCAATTGTGGAACTTGGCGTTAGTTCCTCGACATTCTCACCTGACCTGACCTGAGATGATTGAAACTATTAGTGAAGTGAACATGTAACATGGTTTTGATAATCAAGAAATAGTGTCTAAAATTAAATATTGAGTATCGACTTTTTCTGTACTAGAGTTCAATGGAGAAGAAATCTTAATGCAGCTAGAAAAGAAAACTGCTGTCGAAACTCAAACTTTTAGAAGTACTATTTGAGTTAGAGAACCACATGTGAAGTAGAAATCTCAAGACACATAGTCATTGAATAGTAATCAACAGGCATAAAACAATCGACAGGTATATTACACAAAAATCCACCAGGACAAGATAAATCAATTGATGACAAATGCACCACAGTACATAATTGAATTAGTAAGAAATAAAATATATGAACATCATATAGTGATGCCAGCTGTTTTGAAATGAGTGAGTACATCCTGTTCTACATGTGAAACTCAACCATACATAATTTCAAAGAGTCATAGATTATGACGTGTTTAATCACGCAGTCCTGTTTGAACAATGTGTCAAGATGGAGGGACATGTCTTGTTTTGGAGAAATTGCAGAGTAGAAATAATATAGTAGAAACATCTTCATATTGTAAATCCATAATAAGAAAAATAGTTATCTTTGCTTTGATGAATAATCAGTGAATGCGCCTGTTTTCACTCTGGAAAGATTGGTGGATTACATATTCATATTACAGGTAAGTTACCACGTATTGTCATGACTGAACTCAATAATTCTACGAGTTTACAATATATTAATCTTTATTTTAAAAATAATTACATACAAAACATTTTACTGTCGGTTTCTATTCCCGGACAATTAAATGATCAGCGAAAACGTGGTAACATAAACTTATGAGTAGGAACAGACGCGAACAATCGTTTAGCGTTTGGGTTAGTTAGTTTATTCATAGTTGAAATATAAACATGCCATTATTTCAAATATAAACAAAGATTCAATCTAAAATTAAAGTTCTTTGAAATGAATCTATATTTGGAGATATTTTGTGCTCCAATTTATGTATGTTTCACAGTAATAATATTAGTTGTTTCACACTTTAGTATAGACTATTCCTTGTCTGAGACATCTCTAAGTGATAATGTAAAAGCATAACATAACATTTACTGCGGTTCCAATTTGGTCTAACACAGGTACTTGACATCACTTGTCTGTTAAACATATGTGTAAATACATTGATATTAATATTTCTTTATTCTGCACTATATGGCCACTGGCCTAAAGTACTATTACATTTCTAAACTTAAATTACACACGGTCGCTTTAAAATTACAAGATACATATACTTCAAATCATACTTCCATTTCAGTTTCTCTGTAATGAAAACTCTTAAACAAATATTTACACAAACTTAATAAAATATACGAGTTAGTACTCTGTAGCAATGCAATGAATTTCATCTTGGTTGGTGGTGAAAAATAATATTTTGGTAAGATTTTTTGTCTAAGTGCTTCATATTTTGGACAAACCATAGTAAAATGGTATTCGTCCTCTGTGACCCTGCAACCGAACATAACCTCTGGTCACGTGGAATACCCAATGTTCTACCATTTTCAATTTTTAGGGGGTGACAGGAAATTCCAAGTCTAGTTATAGCACATGAATAGATAGGAGTAGCCAACGAAATAGCAGCAAGATATCTTTCACATATTAAATCTTGTTTAAACATGCAATACGTTTTAAGCTTTACATTTTTATTAATTTCTGCACACCAATTCTGTCTAGATATATCAAAACATCTTCTTTTAAATTCACTGAAGAACATCTCGCTACTATCAATTCTTTGTTCATACCATACATGTCCATAGCCAGATGAACATAAAATATTTTTTACCTTTAAAGCCCAACACCTAGACCCCCCTTCTGCCCTATGATATAGATAATTATAACAGCTATATATATAGCTGAGCCGCCCTCTTGAATCAGTTTCAGCCAAAATCTGACCATTTCAATATTAACTTAAACTCTAACTGAGTGTCTTCCTAATTCACCCCTTACTGCAGCATTGGAAGCGTTGAAACTAACTCTCAATAGAAATTTACAAAATTTACAAGAAATTTATTTTGTACTTTTTCTATGTCAGCTATTACGCCCTGCATTTCCCCCACACAACTATCATACAACAAAATTGGCAATATTTTACAGTCAAATACTTTGTATGCAAGATCAGGCTGCTGTCCCCCAACCCATAATGTTTTTTTCAAACAAAATAGTGCTTTGTTAGCTCGCTCCGAGAAATCTTTCTGTGTTCGAAACCATTTTCCCGAATAATTATATTTTGCTACAATTTCAATTTCTTTTCCCTCCAGAAACCATTTTTCATATTTTTTCAGACGATCCCCTTTTCGGAAAACAATGATTTTTGATTTTTTCAGAATAATATTCAGTCTCCATTATAGACAATAATCCACTAAGTTATTAAGTAATCTTTGTAATACAACAGGTGTGCTGCTGAAAACACCAAATAATCCGCATATAACAAATAAAAAGGTTTTAAAATATTTATATACACAACTGATTCCCGTCCTTGTTGGAGGGCACTCTTAAGGTCATTTATGTAAAAGCAAAACAGTAAAGGTGAAAGAACAGAACCCTGCTGCAGCCCAACATTAATATGGAAAAATTCAGTAACTCTCTTTGGGTTTTTCACAGCAGCCTTAATATTTTGATACATAGAATAAAGTGATTTAAACAGTTTCCCCTTAAGCCCTTTCATAGTCAATAAATGCACAATAGAATCTAGCTCCAAGAGTATAAACATATCTTCTACAAGGGTATAGAGAACAAAAATATTATTCTAAGTTGATTTACCTTTTTGAAATCCACTTTCTATTGTTCCTCAATTATTTTATTATATCGATTCAACCAATTACCTGAGAATACTTGTGTATACTTTACTTATAGTATTCAAAAGCATTATACTTCGATAGTTTGCTGGGTCATTCCTGCAACCCTTTTTGTACAATGGGGACATTAAGTCCCCTACTCCACTCTATAGGAAA